CAGGGGCAGGGTGGCACTGTCAGGGCATGGCACGGCCACCAACATTGATTTTTTGGGTGGGGACACACACACAACACCCACCTGGCAGCAGCTGCTTGACAGGTTCAGCCTCAGGGCCATTGGGCGCCCGGATGTACCTGGGGAAGAGGTTGGGCACTTGCCTGCAAAAAAAATGGGGTGAGCAAGGGGGAAATGGTCCCCAAAAGGGGGGTCTAGGTCCTGTCCCCTCCCCAGGGACACTCACACGGGGGCATCGCGGGTGCCCTGCAGCAGCTGGGCCAGCTCCATGCGCTGGGGCGCGCCGGGCTGCAGGTCGGTGGTGTGCTTGTCGAACGTGTTCTCCACCGTCCCCCCCTTGCCCAGGTCCCTGCGAGGCACCAGAGGCTGAGCAAAGAGGGTTTGGGGGGTGTGCAGGCTGTGTGTGTGTTACCCCCCCTCAGATATCACCCCGGCGGTACCTCTGGAAGGTCCAGGTGAGGCGGAGGGTGATGACGGAGGAGCCGTGCCCCCCCCCCGCCGCATCTGCTCCCGGCTGGGGGGGCTGATGCTCCAGAGAGCGCCCGAGCTGCCCTCGATGCGCGCCGTCACGATGTCCTCGTAGCCGTACAGCGTGATGAACTGCATGGCCACCTACACCAGGGGACACACACGGCTCACCACCCGCTCCAGGGCACCCCAGGCTTTGCCAATGGGATGGAGCAAGGCAGGTTTTTGGGATGGGGAGGGTGTTACCGGTTGTCTCTCGAACTGGTTGGTGAGGGCATCGTAGTCCTGGGGGGTGAAGGGCTGGATGGATTGCTGCTGGGCGCTCATGGTGAACAGCGGCTGGGCTGTGGGAGGGGGGACAGAATGGGGTCAGGTGGGAAGGGCACCCCCAGTATCCAGGCTGGATACCTCCCACCCCGCATCCTCACCTCGTACCCCCCCAGCTTGAGGGTGACGGTGACGTCGATGGGGGGGTTGACGACACCCACCACGGAGCGCACCAGTGACATGAAGAGCAGCGGGAACCAGATGATGGCCACGAGGAAGAGGATGATGAGCCCCCCCATGCCGTACTTCACAATCTTCTTCTTCTTCTGCCCCTTGGGCTGGGGGTATTTCTGCAAGGAAGGGGACAGTACACGGTGACGGATGGGTGTTGGGGTCCCCCAAGCCAACAAGGAGCTTATTGGGGGGCCTTTCCTACAGCGGGGCTGTACCTTCTCAGTCTCGCGGCTGCACTTGATGATGAAGATGTTGGCATAGATGTCCTCCACACACATCCAGTTGGACAGGGACAGCGTGGTGTCCGTCCAGACCCAGTCCATCACAGCCCGCAGCTCCACCAGGAAGGGCACCAAGCGAAACCTGGGGGGGAATACGGGGAGAAGGGGCTGGTACGGCAACCCCCGGGCAGCCAGGGGGCTGCTGGCCCCGTGCCGTACCCTTGGAAGAGGAAGAGGTTGAGGTGGTTGTATTTCTTGGTGAGGAAGTTGCCCAGGATGCGGGTGGGATAGCCGCAGCGGATCTGGTAGGCTGACAGCGAGAAGTAGATGCACTTCACAAAGTACCACAGCTGGGCCACCGTGTTGAGGCTGAACAACCTGTGGGAACAGAGGTGTCACCCCCTCTGTCACCTCCCCAGCCAGGCTGGGCCACATTGGGGGACACTGGGTACCTTTCGGTGACAGCGGGCAGGATGAAGAACATCCAGATGTGGACGCTGAAGACCAGGATGACCTGGAAGATGAGCTTGCCCAGCACGGTCTTGCGGAGGTAGAGCGCGCGGTCGATGACCATGGTGGTGAACTGGATGAGCAGCATGACCAGGAAAGCCTCGGGCACTTGGTCATCCGACAGTGAGGAAGTGATGTCCGCGGCCGCCGTGTGTTTCTGGGGACGCGGCAGAGGTCAGCATAGGGTGGGATTTACCCGGTGGGTGCCCCCCGGGGACCCTGTGCTCACCCCAAAAGCCCAGAAGCCAAAGATGATGATGATGAAGTCGACCACGTCGGCCAGGAACATGAAGGCGTAGACGTCGGTGGCCGCGCGGTGCTGGCCATGCAGGATGTCCCGGAAGAACCCACGCGCCGGCCGGTACATGCTCTGTGCCCTGGGGGGGACAAGGAGGGACGGGTGACCGCAGTGTGGGGGCTGTGGGGTGCACCCCAACCAGCACCGTGGGGCACTCACATGGTGAGGAAGAAGAGCTTGACCCGGAGCCCAAACACCTTCAGCTTCCTCTGAGCGTGGCTCTGTTTCACCTCCTCTTCCTCCTCCTCCTCGTCCCCATCCTCTGCAGATGAGGCACAGTGTGGGTGACAGCCCGGGGTCTCAGGGGGCCATATCCTGCCCCAGGGGACGCCAGCCTTGCCCCTTGCCGGGACACAAGGGCTGGGAATCGGTGCTCACCTTCCTCCAGAGCCACCTCCGGCTGCTTCTTCCAGCGCCACCTCTTCCTCCTGAAGCGGAGCTGTGTGGCCTTGGCCTCCTCTGCGCCCGGGGTCCCTGGCTCTGCCACCACCTCCACCTCCTCCTCACCCACCACCGGTGGCGGGGATGCTGCTGCTTCCTCCTCCCTCTCCTCCTCCTCGTCCTCTGCCTCTGCTTTCTTCTTCAGGGGGTCCTCCTCATGGTCCCACAGCCCGTAGGACTGGGGAGGAGCATGGTCAGGGGGTGATGGGGTTCCTGGTACCCCCTTATCCCATGCATCTCACCCTCAACCCTGCAGCATCACCCCCTGTTGCACCCCAGGGACCCGACCAGCACTGGTTGCCTTGGGTGGACACCAAGGCAGAGCCACCAAGCACCCACTGGGTGCCCTCCAGAGCCCCCATCACCCCCAGGAGCACCTCAGGGATGCCCACCCACACCCCAGGGCTCACCAGCAGCTGGGAGCGATGGAAGAAGAGAGCCAGGAGCTGCATGAGGTCGTATTTGACGTAGCGGTCGGACTTCAACAAGCCCAGGATGCGGGGTGGGAAGAAGGGCTTGCCCTCATTGCGCACCAGCGTGGCGTAGCCATTCCAGGGGAAAAACCCAAATTGGAAGAGGTATTTCACCAGCACCATCACCTGCGGGGACGCTGGGGTCAATGGGTGGCAGTCAGGGGCCGGGTGGCATCGCCCCCACCTCGCCCCCACCCCCTCAGCCACCTGGGTGAAGATGATGGCGGTCATCCAGAAGCGTTTGCTGGGCCGGGGGATGGAGAGCATGGCCCAGAGGAAGACGAGGATGGGGAGGACGAGTGAGATGACGGAGGCGGACACCATGTTGTTGAGGATGATGATGAAGTAGCAGAAGAGCTCCGAGTGGGCGGACACGCAGCGGTATCCGGCCAGCAGCAGCTTCAGGAATCGGTTGTGGGACGCGTAAAACTGCTCCGACTCCTCCAGTTCGGGAAAGAAGAGCTGCCTGTGGGGCACAGGGGGGTGAGATGGCCCTGTCACCCCCCTGCCAGCCCTGTGCCCATTGTCCCCCCCATCCCCGTACCTGCTCAGGAGGAGCTCGCTGGCCGTCCGG